GGCTGCCCGGGCGCGGGGCCGGCGCCGGCGCGGCGCGGGAGGCGACTGAGGCGCGATGTCGGTGCCGCTGCTCAAGATCGGGGTCGTGCTGAGCACCATGGCCATGATCACCAACTGGATGTCCCAGACGCTGCCCTCCCTGGTGGGCCTCAACACCACCAAGCTCTCGGCGGCCAGCGGCGGGACGCTCGACCGCAGCACGGGCGTAAGTGCCGCGCCGCCCGGCCTCCCCTGTCCCCTGCGCCGCGCCGGGCGGGACAGGGACGCGGCGCCTGGGGAGGAGCACGAGACCGGGCGGGCGGGGTTCCAGCGGGTCCTTCCCTCGCCTGGTCCCCCGGAGGGGCAGGGGTGCCCGCTCGGGGGCTCTGCACCCCGGCGTCCTATGCGCTAATTCTGAGTCCTTCGTTCCAAAGCTCAGGAAACTGAGGCTGGGGACTTGGGGACTTGTCCAAGGTCACTCAGCAAGTATGGGGCGGAGGCGCCGCTAGACCCCACTCTGGGCTCGCCCCAGCCGGAGCGCAACCCGCCCTACTTAGTCAAAGCTGGACTGGACCGGGAGTGGGCCCCGGGGCACAGGGCACCGCTGCCCTCCGGTCCCCATACGAGCGAAAGGAAGGGCCGCTGGGTTCGCTCCTCGGAAGAGGGTGCAGAGGAGCCGGGCGGGGCCCCGGAAAGCGGCGCGCTTCTGTTTCTCCCCTGGCCTCGCCCACTCCTCCCTCCTCGCCAGGAAATCGCTGCTTTTCCCGTCTGGGGCGCTGAGGCAGGGGGAGCAGGCGCCTGGGGCTCCTGGGCAGGACTCGGGGCGGTGGTGTGGCGGCTGGAGCGGCAGAGCTGGAGCCACCCACCAGCCAGGGGTCCGCGCTGCGGGAGGGGCGCCCTGGCCGGGTCCCCACGAGTGGCGAGGAGAGGCGAAGGGCAGAATCTCCATCCCGCTCCGTTTCTGCCGCCGGAGGCTCAGGCTCTTCCGGAGGGCTCCACTGTGTGGCCCTGCCCGAGACCCCCACTCCGTGCCGCTCCCCTGTGCTTTCAGAAGTAGGAGCTGTGTCCTCTAGGATTTGGTTCCCTGCCTCTGGGCCCTGGGCTCCCGAGATTGGACATGAATGAAATTAAACACATCACTACTATAAATTCTCCCGCGCAGCTCCCCCCACCCGCCCCATCTAAAAATAGCAAGCAGGTGACCGTGCCAGGGGCGGTGCTGAGATTGTCAGGGGCAGGACGTGTGCTCAGAGAGCGCGGGGCAGGTCCACCCGGGGGCCTCTGGTGTCGCAGTGATCTTTGGGCAATCCTCAGGACGGAGTCGGGGTGACCCCTGCACAGTATGTCACCAGCAGTTTGGTGACATCAACCAAATGGCTCGTGGGTGGGAGCCCTCACAGAGTTGGAGCCAGTGTCCTCGCCAGGCTGCCAGCAGAAAGCTTGCGGTGGCTCGGGGCTGGCGCAGCCCGGGGCTCTCCAGGGCTGCTGGACCCAGGGCCACGGCTGAGGGTGCCTCGTGGTCTCCAAGTATCAGGGACTGCAGGGCAAGGCTTGGCTGAGCCTCCCTGGGAGGCGGAGGTGTCCGATTCCTGTCGGCCACCCAAAGGGTCACTTCCTGCCTCCCCCTCCAGCCCGTGGCCTCTGGTCACCTCCCATGTGCCCAAAACATCTGTTTAGTCAGATGTCAAATCTCTAAGCAGTCCTGGGCTGGATTTTTAAACTTTAAAGAGCATGCCTGTTGGACTTCTCTCAGCCCTGGGCACTCTAGCAGGGGCCCTGTGCCTCTGTTCCCAGGACCTCTCTTCCTGGGTGGGGTCCAAACATGTCTTTCCTCCTTGCGCCTTTGGGCCGCCCCCGTGTGCCTTCTCCCTGGGGCCGGCCCTGAACAGTCTGTGCCGCGTTGCTGCCCAGGCCTGATCTTCCCTTTCCCTTTCCTCCCTGCGCCTTCACCTCGCCTGCCCCGTGACCCTGCAGGTGCTGCCCACCAACCCAGAGGAGAGCTGGCAGGTATACAGCTCCGCCCAGGACAGCGAGGGCAGGTGTATCTGCACAGTGGTCGCCCCCCAGCAGACCATGTGTTCCCGGGATGCCCGCACGAAACAGCTGAGGCAGCTACTGGAGAAGGTGAGTCCACACTGGCTGTGTGTGTGTGTGCCCAAGGCTGCCAGGTCCGTCCCTGACCTCTCCTGGCACAGCCCCACCTAGATATTTGTGAATGAACGAGCCGGTGGGTGAATGGGTAGGTGGATGGGCAGACGGATGGGTGGAAGGGGATACCCAGGGTGGCCCTGGAAGAGATAAATACACCTGTTTCCTGGTCCCTGTGGACACCACTGAGGAGCCCCAGGGGTGCAAGGAGACTAGACTCAGGGTCCTCTGCTACACACCCACTCCCACTGACGCTCATTACGCACAGTCTAAGAGCTCAGAACTGCCGCCAGGGGCAGCTTGTCCGGGCTCAGCGATGTGTGGCCATGTGGGTTTTACGTGGTGGGGCCTTTGGTCCGGTGTTCCCCACTGGGGATGCCTTCCATTCACAAGGACCACGTGATCACGTCATAATGCACTCGGGGCGGCCTGCGCTTACACATTGCTCCATTACTTCACCTAATCTCCACAGCAACGTGTGGAAATGGGGTGAGGCTGCTTGCTGATTTCAGAAGGGGAAATGTGGGGCTCCACAGAGAACTGACTGGCCTGGCCCAAACAGCCGGTTAGCAGGGGAGTCTCCATGGACACTCCTGGAGCAGCTTCCCTCTTTGCTGGGCCTCCACTCCCCCCAGGCCTCCTCTGGCATGCGGTGCTTCTGCGTGGGGTCCCTGGGCAATACTTCCTAAGTGGAGGGGGAAAGTACCCCTGCTCACCACCAGGGAAAGGAGCAGCTTATATGTGGCACTTATGGTCAGGGCACCATCTGCAGAGTGGGGCCGCACCAGACCCACACACCAGTAAAGCCACGACTTCCTGCAGACCGGCCTGGGATGGGGACCCTCTGTGACTCAGGACACCCCCTCTGCTCCCCTTCACACTGGGGAAGGCACAGGCTGTGGAGGACAGCCACCCCTCCCGGAACCTGGTCCCAGTGCTCTCCTCTCCTTGCCCCCAGCTCAACCACACCCCCCATGCTGCGGGCAAAGTGGGGCCCCGGTGGGACTGTTTCCTCAGCTGTCAAGGCGGGGAGTGGGCCGGAGGTCCTGAGGGTCCCCAGCAGACTGCAGTTGCTGGGCCCTGTGCCTGGTGCCCCTGGAAGGCCCGACCTCCCCTCCTGGGCTGGTGGAGGCCTCCCTGGTTGCCAAGGAACAGGGTGTAGTTTTTTTTTCTGCCATCTTTAGCCACTTGAATAAATCATTTGCAAAGAGTTACAGAGAAATGCATTTGACGGATCCCACAAACATTTATTAACACCAAACAAGGAGGGGGGATAATAGAGCCTTTAATTATTCAGACGCAGGAGGGAGGCTGGGGTGGAGCCTGGGGCTGGGGCCCTGGGGGAGGCTGGCGGCAGGGAAATGGGTTCCAGAAGCTCCAGGGCCCCGGGGAGGAAGGCCTTGAGCTTTCCTTTCTGCCTACGCAGGCCACAGCTCTGCTTAAAAATTTAAAGCCCTATTTCGTGCTCGCGGGCACTCTATTTTCGGCGGCACAAGCCATTGGCTGGAAGAGAGGCCACCTCCTTAGTGGCCTTGCCTTGAAAGGGGCAGATGGATTGCGCATCCTGAGCGGCTTCTCTGCCCTTCCTCCTCCTCTCCTCCGGGGCCTGTGGGGTGGGGGAGGGGCCCAGTCTGAGCCCCGCCCTGAGGGCCTCAGTGGGCGGAGCCAGGTCCTTGTTGTAAGACCCGGCTTTGTGCAAAGAAGGCGCCCTGGGTGGGATCTCAGAGTTGCTCTTCCGGGGCCCCCAGAGCAGCGGGTTGACTGTGTAGAGTCCTTGGGGGTGGGTGGCAGGGCTGGGACTGAGCCCTCCGAGAGTGTGACTCTGAGTTTGAGAGGCCAGGCTTTGGTACCCGGCCCTCCAGCCCTCCCCTGGCCATGTGGCTGCAACAAGTGTTTTAACTCCTGGGCTCCTTGGTCTCAGTGTGTGAAACCACTCAGAATAGCTGCTCTCCCAGGGTGCAGAGGTCCCGTGGGCTACATAAGGGACAGACTCTCCCAGTGCCTGGGCTCCTAAGGGTGTTCAGTAGGAACCAGCAGTTAGTCACTCACCGCAGGCCGGGTGTGCAGGCAGGTGACCCCTCCCTCTCCGTCACACCTGCTACCACACTGGCTAAGGTGCGGCGTGGCTCTGTGACCTTGAGTGTGCCTGTTGGCTTCTCAAGGACGCATCCTGGAAGTGATAGGATTTGTGGACCCAGCAGAGGCTGTGGACACAGATGCTGTGAGCACAGTGGTGACACTGGACTGCTCTAGCCGAGGACTCCCTGGGGAGTGGCCAGGAAGCATGGGGTGAGAAGAACTTCTCTTAGGTAGCTGGGTGGCTTGGCTTCTTTAAGTTTGTTTTTAAATTGAAAGTCTCATCTTTAAAATCTGAACTGTGGTAAAGTACTGGCCCCTCCCCGGGGGCAGGGCAAGAAAGCCCGCCATGTGGTGTGCAGTCTCCTGACAAAACCAGGTGAGCTCAGCAGGCTTTGCTCTGGTTCTTCTGCTTGGCCCTCAGCTCGGTCTCCTTGGGAGAGGGTGGGAACAAGGGTCCTGATCGGAGCCGCCTATGGGGTAACAGGTGTGGGTGAGGCTCAGCTCCCCAAGAGTTTGTGTCCCATGAGGTAGATGGGACAGGTGTGTGGCTTGGGGCATGAGGTAGGACTTGCAGGATGACCAAAGCCCGACTTTACAACTTTTCCCCAGAAGTGCTGTGGTTATCCAGAAACAGAACAGGCCAGGTGAAGGGTAGCAGGGAACAAGAAGCAACAGACAAATATATTTCCATTTCCAAAGAAGTTCTAAGGAGAAGAGATGGGGCCTAAGTCACCCCCCACACTGTATCTTACAAACCTGGAATTTTGAAGTAAATCACTGTATGTCACTTCCAAATCACAAGCCGTAAAGTCCCATGCATTCTTAAGTACTGATGTCAGCAACACTCATCTCCCTCCTACCGAGAAGGCTTTTGGTTGCTCTCTTTTAATATTATTTTACTATTACTTCAGAGGGGGGATTGACAGAAAGAGGTGGGAACCTCACTGTCATCTGTTTGGTCACCGGGAAGGCAAAGCTCAGCCTTAGACGCAGATGCTTGTTTTCCTAGAAGGGAGAGTATTTTCAAATTCAGCAAAAGAGCAGAAATGGAGATTTGCTGTTTGGAGGTGCCTTCTTCCTGGGTAATTGGATTGGATTCAGAAAACACCCCCCACCACTGCGGCGTCCCGGCATCCCAGCTCCTCCCTGCCACCCTGAGCACATTTACACAGAGCCACAAGCCGCCTTCCTGCAAATGAAATGCTCTGGCAGGTGGCTGCACTAAAACTGTTTTTCTTTTAAGCTCTCTGGAATCCTGTTGAATATTAAAGTCCCATCTCGAGGCGAGACTCAATTCAGATCTGCCTGTAAAGATGTAAAACAGCGATCCTTCATTTGCTGGGTGATTGATTCCTGACTCTATGCTCCGAATGTGTGTGTTTGCGAGCAGTCATCTGCCTATGATAGGGTGGGGTGTGACGGATGGCGCGGGAGAGGGGAGCGGGCTCGGAGTGGAGACTGGAGCGCGGCTCTCGTTCTTTCATCCCGCACTTTCCGCCACCACCCTTGCAGGAAGACACTGTGAGATTGAGGGGGAAGGGGGACTTGTACCTGCGGGTGGGGCAGACCCCCGTCCTGTTCACCCCCTGCTGTTCATGCCTGCCTCGCTGGGATCACTGTACCACATAGACAGTGTAGAAGGAGCCCTTGCCGCCAAACAGAGAAGAAGATAAATTGCCCCAAGCCCTCTGCTGGGGAGGAACCCAACCTCTGCCCAGCTCTGCACTCCTGGTTGTAAGAGCCAGGCTGGAAGATAGCAGAGGGGATGCTTACCAAACCAGGTGCTTGTGTTCAGGGAGCTGGCAGTCCCGGAGCTGGTGATTAACTAGGAACTAACGCATGGCAACCTCCGGCTGCCAGGTGCGGACTGTGGAGGGCCTGGGTGGTGTGGCCCGGGCAGCTCGAGTGTGGGTGCCTGCTGTAGCTCTGGCCTTGAACCTGTTGCCCTTTTGGCAGGTGCAAAACATGTCTCAGTCCATAGAGGTCTTGGACAGGAGGACACAGAGGGACCTGCAGTATGTGGAGAAGATGGAGAACCAGATGAAGGGGCTGGAGTCCAAGTTCAAGCAGGTGGAGGAGAGTCATAAGCAGCACCTTGCCAGGCAGTTCAAGGTATGTGTCCCTGCTGTCCTGCCCTGTCTTGTCCACGTCCTCTCCTCCCGTCTCGCCCTCCTCTTCTCCACTTCGTCCTCCTCGCCATGTCCTTCTGTTCCTTCCCCCTCCTCCTCCTCCTCCTCATTCTCCTCTTCCTCCTCCAAGGCTGGGCTTGTTTTCCCTTCCTGCTCCCTGTCTGCCCACAGAAATAGTGATTTGAGAGCAGGAGGGATATAGAACGAACCCTCGCCTTACCAAGAGCTGTTGTCCTTGGCATAGAGAGCCACCTACCCTGGCCCTGGTCTGGTAAAGACACCAGGAGAGGGGTGTGCTTGGCGCCATGCAGCACAGAGTAGCCCTGGTTTGGAAGCCAGTCCGGTTTAGAAGCTGGGGTCCCACACCTTTCGCTCCTCCAGCCAAGTCGCACTTGAGCTGCGAAGGAACATCATTTTGGCCCTTGTCATTCCACAGCTGCCGCAGGTAATCACATTAGCTGAGGATTAGCTTAATTGATTAGAGCTGTTTCTGAGCAGGGATCACTCGGGGCAGTCTTTCACATCTGACCCAATTTAGCTATGACAAGGCACGCTATAGACGCAGGGAGAAAGAGAGCCCAAGCTCTCTCTCAGCTCGGAGTAAGCATTTCGTATCTGCAGGTCACTCTGGACATTAAGACCGCAGTTCCTTCCACCTGAAATTCCATATGCATATGTACAAGTGTGTGTGTGTACACCAGCTGCACTGCTATTAGATTGAGAAATTATATGCCACCTTAATTAAGGTGTATGCGCATGTTAATTAGCAGTCAAGCCCTGATGTAAGTGAACAGGTCAAATTACACAACCTCCTCACTTGGCTGGAAATTGCTGACGTCTCTGTCTCTGTCTTCCTGTCCTTTTATGCTAATGCTTTCCTTTGATGTGCTCCCAGTATCAAGCAAGAACTAATCCTCCTCTAAAAGCTATACACTAGATAGATGAAGCGGCAAGCTAACAAAGCCATAAATCTATGTTGTAAATAAAACACCCCCAGGCTTGGCCCTGTTGAGGTGAAATGCCCAGGTTGCTCTTGTGTGAGGCAGGTGAGCGTCTTTGTCCTTGTCTCCAATGTGTCATTGTGAACTACCCTGAAGAGAGAGTTTGACCTTTTTGACCCAAAAGAGATGGTCTTTTGGAAAAGGCTAGCATTCTCCTTGTTGGTGCCTGGCAGACCCTTCTAAAGATGGGGTGTCTTCAGCAACCACCAAGTTTCTTACCTTTCTGGATATTGTCCCCAAAGACATTGTCTGAGTTCCAAATTGTGCCTTTGGGGAAAGAAAAACAAGCCCTTGTCTTTTGTGTTGCTTTCATTGCATTAAGACAGTCAAGCAAATTGCTGTGAGGGAATCTACATCGTGTTTAAGTCAGTTTGTTTTGCTAGCATTAAAGTGTGATTTAAAAAAAAAAAAAAAAGAAGTGACCATGCAAATATTTGTCTCTGTGTAAGGCAGGCTAGTGAGCTAGTTTTTCAACAGTGTTTCATTTTCTTGCTTGCAGGGCTAACTTAAAAGCGTTTTTACAATGCTGCAGTGACTGAAGATGCAGTCCACTCCCATGTAACCATGAAAGAGCCAGAGAGCTTTTTGCACCATGCATTTTTACTATTATTTTCCAATACTTAGCACCATATCACTAAGGAACCTTGAATCCACCCAGGATCCTCCTTTGCATGCGACTCTAGATGCATTCCATGAATAGTTTGAACCCTTGTCAATGCATTTTTTTGAAAAAGAAAGAAAAAAAAAGAACTTTGTGTATGTGATTTAAAGCATGTAACCTTAAGATGTTGCATTCTAAACTGACAATAAAGACCTTTCCCAAATATGTTGGTGTTCTGAGGACTGTTTAATATGCTCTCCTAACCCCTTTGGACCAGAATAAATAAATGCATAACTAAAGCGGCAGCGTGCACACCTTCCCTCGAGTAGGGAGAAGCCAGGCTGAGGCAGGGTGTTACGAGTTCTTGCATGCACCGCACTGAACCCAGCTTATTTTAACCTTGCAGGCGATAAAAGCGAAAATGGATGAACTTAGGCCTTTGATCCCTGTGTTGGAAGAGTACAAGGCCGATGCCAAATTGGTATTGCAGTTTAAGGAGGAGGTCCAGAATCTGACGTCAGTGCTTAACGAACTGCAAGAGGAAATTGGCGCCTATGACTACGATGAACTGCAGAGCAGAGTGTCCAATCTTGAAGAAAGGCTCCGTGCGTGCATGCAAAAACTAGGTAGGCCCAGCACCCTGTGGGCGCAGCGCCTCGCCGCCGTCCCCGCTCACGCACACTTAGTGGTGGTGCTGAAGGGACAGCGCCCGCTCAGGCACAGACTTAGCGGTGGTGCTGAGAGGACAGCGCCCGCCACGCCAGGCTCGGTGGTGCTGAAGGGACAGCGCCCGCTCGCGCACAGATTTGGTGGTTGTGCTGAAGGGACAGCGCCGTCCCACGCAGGTTTAGTGGTGGTGCTGAAGGGACAGCGCTCACCTGGCTTCCCGAGCTGGTGGCTGTGATAGGGCCCTGGGTAGGGCCACTGAAAGACAGCAGCCCAGGAGCATAAGCAGCACCCGCCCAGGCCATCCCCGTGCCCAGGCCCTGCGCAAAGGCCAGCTCTAGACCCCTTTACTTCGCACTTCTGAAAAAGAACAGGACGATACTAGATCCCTGTACCGTCTGACGGAGGAGGCGTGTGCACATGCGTGCGAGGGTGTGTGCATGTGTGTGTGTATTGTAAGTGTGGACTTTTAGGACACTAGTTAAATGGGGCTGGCAATACATCTCCGATTCCTCTAGGTTCAGAAGACAGCTGATGAGGCCCTTAAGAGGCTGAACCACACCTAGTTTCAATAAAAAGGAAAAATGGATTCAGTCACACAACAGCAGAAGAGGTACCAGTCCCCACAGGCAAAGGAGCCCTCAGCAGTCAGGGTGGGTGGGAGTTGGGAGGAGTCAACTCGGCGTTCCCTCCCCAGGTAGGTGGCCTCCTGGGGCTCGATCATGATCGATGACCCACCTACCAACTTTCAGTTAATGTCCTAGGCAGACTGGGTACGTTGGGGTCCACTTTCAATAGCACATTTCCTATCGAAGTCCCAGTTTTTCTTGAAGATTACCCAGCCTCCCCCACCACGTGCTTTTAGCACAAGGATGGTTCCTTTCCATACTGTATACTTTCTAGGGGAACTCAGAGCCATTGTTAGGATAATGGTGCATCATGAAGAATTCCCCAGGCTCTGTTGTTCTAACCTGTTCCCTTTTCCCTCCTCCCGCCCCTTGCCTTATGATAAACAAGGAATCCAAAAAAGAACAAACACCTTTAAAATTCCCGGGTGTTGCTAGGTGGAAGAGAGAGAATATTTAAAGGGAACAGAGCCAGCCTCAGTCCTGGATCACTCCTAAATGCTATTCTGGGCACCCTTGGTGAAGCAGAAAGCTCCTGGTCTGGGGGCAGAGTAAGAGGGGACACTGGCCGTGTCCCTGAGAGATCATCTACTGCACCTGCTTTGTGGAGCTCAAGTCGCAGTGTGGTGGGGACGGCCCCAGGAGGGGTCTGGGATGGATGGTCCCCACCAGCCCTTCCTGTGATGACATCCTAGGTGCTGGCCAAGTGTTTGGAATACTAATGACCTGAGAGATGTGTGTGTGAATGATTGTGGGCCCAATGATTCCTTCCCTGTGTGTGGTCTCTGGGTCCCTACCCACAGTGGCCCCCCTCTCCTGGGTGTTCACACTCCCAGTTAGCAGAAGAGCTATGTTTTAGTGCATGCTGTTGTTCATTTCCCCACAAGCAATGTCCCTCTCTGGTACACAGACCACATGTTCCCGGAGACAGGGAGAGAAGGACTCCATGCCCTGCAGTCCCCTGAAGGAGGCAGGGGGGCAGGGTGGGAAGTGGCAGTGGGAGGTACTGATGTTGAGTATCTGAGGGCTGTGGGGAGGAGAACTGGGCTTCCCAGCTGTCCTGACCAAATTTGAGTAGCTGGGTGTGTGCACCTTATGGCCTAGGGCCTGGAGTCCTTCATGTGGTTATGCTTAGGCTGCTGAAACCATTGATTCGGAGCAAAGAGAGAGACCAACTATGTCCCCATGGCTGTGTGGCACCACACACTGGGAGGACAGTGAGCTGTGGCTGGGGACAGACCCCGAGGCACAATGGCTGCAGGAGGCCCATGCTCTGTGATTCTGGCACACAGCTCCCTGTCCAGCAGGGGCAGCCCTGACAGGCAGCATGGAGACTCCCAAGTGCCGCTTGATAGCTGCCGGCCTCACCTGGGCATTTGCCTTCTCGAGTTTCCACTGTCTCCTCGTCTGTAAAGGAAGGTATGGGAAGTCCCTGGGCCCTGGGGGATACAGTACAGATGAATTCTCAGGTGTCGCTCCTGTCACTGGCTGAGTGCTGCCTGGTAACAGGACAGGTTGGTATGAAGGTAGGTAGCTAGGCAGGTAGGTAGATAAGTGATGGACAGAGGTGATGGGGTGGATGGATGAATGGGTGAGTGGGTGGACAGTGGGTGGATAAACCATTGATAGCGTTGATAGGTGATTGATTGATGGATGGATAGGTAGGTAGGTAGGTGATCGAATTAGAGGACAGATGACTGATTGACAATTGATAGACATCTAGATAGACTTGGCAGCTGCTGCCCCCCACTTCTTCCCAGGCTTATTCAGCTCAGTAACTTAGGGACCTGATCAACATCCCTGGCTACTTAATTAGCCATTGCTTTAGCTTTGTAACAGGCAGCTGTCTCTAGCCTGTCCTAACAGCCTGTCCCCTGGTGTGGCAGTGACAGGGACACAGCTTCTGTGCTGTGGAGCCGACACTGTCTGCTGGCCCTCCCGGCTAGGTGGGATTCTGCAGGAAGCTGCAGCTCGGTGGCTGGCAGGGTCCCTTTTTGTCTCCTTGCCCCCCTGGTCCTTGGTGTGCCTGATGTCTTTGTGGGTTCAAGGTCTGACTACAGGTTCCTTGACTTGGGATTAGGGCCTTGGTGTCCTTTCTGGGACAACAAAGGCCAGGTGTCCTTGCAGCCCTCAGCAGTCCTGGTTAGAGCTCTTCTTGCTGTGAACAATCCCTGACCCCAGCGCATACACAGAAACATGCAAAACCAGGACCAAGATCCCATTGCGCTCCAGTCTCCTGTTTCCATGGGAGTTCATGTTTTTCCCCATGGCCCAACCAAAAACTTAAATCCCAGCCTCGTACTTGTAGGCCTGGAGGTTGAGCCTGGCATCTCCTAACCTCCTCTGGAAGGGAAGCCCTTCCTCAGGTTCCTCTTCAGCCTGTCTCATCCCCAGGGAAGGGAGAGGCAGTATTGCCCTGTGGCCCTCCTGGTCCCCCTGAGGTGGGGCTCAGTCGGGTAGCAGCCACTAGACTGGAGCCAGCAGTGCAGCTGAGACCCAGCCACCTCATGGGCCGGGGCGTCCTGATACTGCAGGCCTTAAGAGTCCTCTGTCTGCCCCCAGTCACACACCATCCCTGCATGCCTGCTGCTGGCTTCCTTAGTTTCTTCTCTTTTGAAGCAGGGAGGGAGTGTCACCTGTTAGTGAAGCCCACTGGCCCTTGCCACAGAGTCCTACCAGCCAGAGGCAGCAGGCGGCAGGGTCCGCCGGAGAGTAGGTGGGAGCTCCTGTCCCTGGGGGAGGTTAGGGGGTACCAGGGTGATGCTGTCCATGGTGCAGGCCCTGCACTCTCCACTGGGAGCCCAGTCTAAAGACTACTCTTGTGCCTAGTACTGGAGAGGTCAGGAAGGGTGGCCAGGCAGAGACCCGCCCTCACCTCCCACCTGGAGCTCTGGGTGGGCCTGGGCCTGTAGGCCGAGGTTGGGAGACTTGTGCATTCGTCTGGGATCAGGAGTTAGGGTGCCTCTGTCTGAGAAGAGCCCTTACGAAGTGAGGAGCCAACCCCACATGCCGCTCAGGGCCTGACTCCCTTCCGGCTCCTTCCAGGAAGTCCTCAGGGTAGTCTGTGCTCAGGGGTCTCCTGCCAGGTCAGGAAGGGAGAGGGGGTCCATGGTGACCCTCTCAGTGCCCACTCAAGGATCTGGGTCTCAGGCTGAGGCTTTGGTGGGGCCTGTTGGTGTCATTTGCATTGTGGACATTTGTCTGTCCAGTCCAAACTTCTTCCCACCTAACTCTTCCCAGGGTTCTGGGGATAAATCTGGGAGTAGAGGCAACCCATCCCCTCTGCTGCCCTCTGGGGCTTCCCAGAGACCCCCGTGGCCTGGCCTGAGCGCCATGGTGGTATTTCTCCCTGGGCCTGTCCCTGAGATGGTGTGGGTTGCTCTCAGAGCACACTCCTGGTTAGAGCTGGAGGTGCCGGCTTCCACCGCAGGGGCGTGGGTTTGTGCTTGTCTCTGCTTCCAGCCTGGCTGGGACCCCTGCTTTGAGACCGTCCCTGCCGGTGCTGCTGCTCCGTGCTCTGCCTCCTCTGTGGTGGAGCCTGCAGGCCCCCTCCTGCGCCTCCTCCCCTCCCCTCCTCCCGGCACCCCTCCCCTCAGCCTGCGTGAGTGCTCGTGACCAGAGAGGGACACTTCACTGCCAAGCTGGGTGTGCCAAGGCTCTGCCGAGGCTCTGCCGTCGACTTTTTTAGATCCTGTCAGTTCCCGAGGTCTTGGCAGATTCAGTCTGGATGGAGAACCAAAAATAACTCCCTGAGTCAAGAAGGGCGGGCAGCCTCCAGCCCCGTGGGCCCCGGGAGCTGTGCCCGAGGCCAGCAGCTTGGAGCGTGGTGCGCATGGCCGGGGCTGGCCTGCTGGCACTGTGGCCGAGTGTGTGTGTGGAAGGGGGCACCACAGAGGAAGCCCTGGCGCCTGCACAGCCAGGAGGTCCAAGTGGGCGGGCACTGGCGGCCCTCGTGGAGGCCGTCCCCAGCCCGGCTGTGCTGAGAATGAGCCCCCTTGTGTGCGGTCAACTTGAGCTCACCATGACGTAGCAGGGCTCATGGTTTGTGGCTGGCATCGCTCTACCTCTTTCCCAGCTCCCTGCCCTTGGAGGGGTCCTGGGCTCCTGCTCCTTGGTGGGGAAGGCGAGTGGCCGCAGTGCCCTGGCCCGTCCCCACCATCCCCCTGCTGGGTCAGACAGGGAGGCAGTACAGTAGGATGTGCTGAGAGCCAAGCCACTCGGCTATTCCTGTTAGGGACAGGGGAGGAAGACCTGGGCCCTCGTGTCCCTGCAGGAAGTGTGCAGTGCCGGCCAAGGTCTCCAAGGGCCTGCAGGGTGAATTCAGGAGGGGGGTGAGGATATAGAGGCAAAAAGGACCAGGCAGCACCAGGCCTCTGAGCTGAGGTGGGGGTCCAAGTGTGACACCCGGGACAGGTTCTGGTCCCCTTTGGGTGTCCTTTTAACCTGGGAGGGGCTCGGTGGATTTGGGACACAGCTTGAGTGTGAATCCAGTCTGCGAAGACGCAGTGGCCCTGGGCAATGGGACCCACAAGGTGCTGCTGGGTGGCGGCCAGCCACTGTGACCTGGGGCCCCCGCCCAGTCACCCTGTGGGCAGTGGCTCCTTTGGACTTCAGAACCTCCTCCCTAGGTCAGGGACAGGTGGTCCCTTCCCCCTCTCCCTCCCCCAACAGGAAATTCACAGGGGCCATGGCCCTGTCTTAGTGGGTGCTGGCGGTGGACAGAGGGAGGGGCTGGGGACAGGGCTGTCTGTGCGGGAAGCTGGCCCCCTTGGCTTCTCCTGGTCCCTGCTGTGCTAAGAGGAGGCTGCCGTCCATCCCTGTCCCTCAGGTCCCCCAGGCAGCCTGGTAACCCTGGGGTCAGCAGAAGCAGAGAAAGAAAGAGCCAGGCCTGGGTTGGTGCCCAGGTGCCCCCACTGCCCCCAGCCCTGCCCACTGGGGGAGCGGCACGGTGGGTACGCTGGTCTGGGCGCTCATGGAAAAGGACTGTCCTGGGAGGTTTTTCCTTCGGTGCCTGCAGACCCGGGCCATCGCTGAAGGCCCTTCTCCCCCGTGTCTCCTCCCTGGGGCTTGGCCAAGGCAGGGCCGTGTGCACAGAGCCCAGCAAGCTGGCAGAAGCCTGGGCCTTGAGGGTCCGGAGTTGAGGTGAGGAAGTGCAGGACCCCTCCAGGAGGTGGGGGCAGCGGAGTAGGGACGGTGGTGGCCTTTCTTCTTCCAGGCTGGGCAGAGGCGCTGGCCAGTGACTTCGGTGGGACTCGGCACGGAGCCCAGCTTTCTTCTGCTCACAGCAGCTCTTAATCCAGCCAAGCCTTCCGCTGCCCAGAGACGCACTGTCCTGCCAATGCAGGGGCCCGGGCTCAGCCTTTTCATCCTCCCAGGCTTGGCCGCCACTGCGGTGGACATGATCACCCCACTTTGTTTTAGGATGCAGCGGGGGGCACCCCGAGACAACAAGGTGGTGGCCCACGCCAGCAGTAGCCCAGCTGTGCCCTCCAGAGCTGGACTCGCTCTTCTCATGTGGGGGATTATTCCGGCTTCCCCTGGTCCCTAGGTTAAGTCCCTGACAATCTTCTGTAAGCCCCGGATCTCCTCTGAACTTTGCCGAAGCCTGTGTACATATGCTAACGCGGCCCTGAAGGGTGAGGGGAGAGGAGGCTCTGTGAGCCGCCACTCAGGGAGCTGTCCAGCGCCGTCCTCAGGAATGTATTGCCCTTCCAGATGCACCGGGACAAGTGGCTCTGGAACAGCTGCGTGGCTGCCAGTGGCAGGGGTGGCATCTCTGCAGGAGGGAAGTTGAGTGAGGAGTGTCGGGCCCAGCCTTGGCACTGCCTGGATGACAGGGTAGCCCTGGGCACATCCCACGGTGTCTCTAGCCGCCATCGGTGAGGTCTGCTGATGTCGTGTCCAAGATCCCGTCAGGTCTCAAGCTCGAAGCCTAGGCCTTGGCCCACATAGTACTGGTGCGTGTCTGAAATCCCAGCTGCTCTGGAGGCTGGAACAAGAAGGTCCAGAGTTCGAGGTCAGCCCGAGCAGCGTAGTAAGACCCTGTCAGGTGTCCCTAGCAGCCTTATGAGGCTGGGCTGCTGCTGCCCTTATTCCTAGGGGAGAAAATTGACTGCTAGGCTGGCTCCTCCCGGAGGTGCGATGCGGGTGTCGTGTCCAGTCCCCGGACCTGCTGGGTGTGGCTGCTCCTTCTCCTTCCTGTCACAGCCTCTGCTGCTCCTCAGTGAGGACCATGAACAACAGGGCAGGAGCAGCTGCTCAGCAGACCTGGGGTGACAGGGGCTTCTGGGGGGGCCACTGGCAGGCCAAGCCTCCCTCCACCCCCAGTCCTGACCCCTGTGTGCTCTGTTCCAGCCTGCGGCAAGTTGACGGGCATAAGTGACCCGGTGACCATCAAGACTTCCGGCTCAAGGTTCGGGTCCTGGATGACAGACCCTCTGGCCCCGGAAGGTGACAACAGGGTAAGTGTCCCCTTATCCTGTTGGGGGCCACTTGGACAGCGTGCTCTCATGGGACCTGGCGGGACTGGTCTCCAGCACTTACCCCAAAGTCAGTGCGACTCCCACCACAGCTCCTGCTGAGGTCACAGCTGCAGGGGCTCCTTCAAGGCGCCGGGCACTGGGCTGGGCTGGTGCTGAGGCCTTCTGTCCCAGGAAGGCCGCAGCCCATCTCTGCCTCTGCTGCGAGAGAATCCATTAGGCCTTTCTTATTTTAATGACGTCTCATTTGTATTTCATTTGCCATTCCTTTTATGGCTGATAGAAGCTCGTGTTCCCTTTTGATTTCGGGAAAAGGCCTCCAGTTCTTTTTTCCTGGGCCTTTCCCGGGGGGAAGCCTCCAAAAAGGATAGGCCCCCCTCCAGTGGCTCTGCGGTCCTGTTGCCCTGGGGCTGGTTTGCGGCTGGAGCCCTTTGGGAACCAGAGCGAAGGCAACTGCTAAGGGCGGAGGAAGCCTGGCCCTACCTGGACCACCCTGAACTCCTCCGGGCCCAGAGAAGTCAACTTTGAGACTCCAGATCCTGGTGCTTTATCTGGAGAATCTGTACTGGAAAAGGCTGGCTGAGTTCCCTTTCCTGGGGCCTCTGGTCCTGGGGACCCGAGTGGCTCTCTCCTCCCTGCAGGTTGCTCCGGCGTCAGGGTGCCTGAGGCTTTGGTGTCTATCTGTCATGCTCCAGTGGGCAGGGTCCCCACCATGTGGCCCGCACGCCATTGGGCAGTGTGCCCTGACCCTGCTGGCGAGCTCCACACAGCTGGTGGGGTGCATAGGATGAGAGTCTGGCGTTGGGGCAGGGGAAGGTTTTTTCATCCTATTTTCTGAATGCCGATGGCAGACGCTTGGAAATTTTCTAACAATGTCACTGGTGTTACTCTGGGTGTTTTTTCCCTTGCATCCCACCTGGAAAGCCCAGCTCTCTCTCAGAGTTGGGTTAGGAGCATCCTCTTGCTGTGCGTGTGAGTGACAAAAAAATGGGAATAAAAACCAAACAATGTAGTTAGTGCACACAAGCACAGCCTGTGTGCCCGGCACCGTTCTGAGTATTGATGTCCAGATACTCCGTGTGCGAATGCAGTCACCCGGTGTGTGTCCCCAAGCACACTGTATGCCCCACCGTCTCGGGGATGTCTTTCTTCCCAGGCTGATGAAGACAGTGTTCTCGCCACCTGTGGGGAAGGGTCCCACACCCTGCCCAAGTCTCAAGGAGGCCAGCCCTTGGCCTTACTAAGCACAAGTCTCGGGGGCCACTGGCACTCTGGGTTGGGGCCCCCAATGCCACCCAGGGGCCTCTGTGCTCTCCACCTGTTGCTTTACCCCCCTCCATGGCAGAGCAGGGGCCTACTCCTGACCCACGTGGGCCCGAGAGCAAGAGCTAGGTACCGTCCTGCCGAGAGGGGCCCACACCTGGATGTCTGGCCATGTCCAGCCCTGCGAATCAGCCTCTCAGCCCTGTTGGCCTCCGTTCCCTTGTCCTGGAGGGCCCTGGTCCAACCATTGCTTTTGGAGCAACCGAGGAGCCAGAGCCTGGAAGCTGAGGCTGTTTGCTTTGCACAGCGGAGTGAGGGTGTAGGTCTACAGAGCTGCCGAGGTGCCTGTGGGTGCTTTTGAGAATTAGACATCATTTTCCGCTTTATGGCTGCGGCACCCTTCAGCAGAGGAGGCACTGGTGGCAGGCGGAGTGCCAGCGAAAGCACCTGCGGGAGAAGGGCTGCCTGTGAGGGAGCTGGTGGCAGGGCCTCGCAGGGGGAGGGGGGGCGCTGGGCTGGGGGTGACACACAGCATGGGGGGCGCTGCGCCAGGTGCTTTGGCAGCCACTCCACACCATGGCCCTCATCTCCCAGCCTGCTAAGTGACGTGTCGCCGGGCCTGCCGTTGAGCTGGACCAGCAGTGTTTGTTCTGTGTTGGTCTTTTCCAGTCTCCCATCCCATTTTGATCATATACACGCAGGAGACCAATAACTTGGCCAGAAAAAGAAAGCAGTCGATGCTGGCCTCAGGGCAGGGTGCTGTGAAGGGCGCGGCGAGGGCTGGAGGGGAGAGCTGCTGCTCTGCTGCCTGAGCTAGCCGCACTGGGCCACCCTGCAGGGCCTGCTGGCCCTGTGCGGAGCTGTTAGCAGAGTAGCTTGGACACCCTCCCTACCGCCCTGCCTCCACCCGTTTATTAAGCGCCAGCCGTATGCTGAGCCTGGTCCCCTTCTCCGGCCCTGGGCGAAGGAAAGCTTTACGGCCCTGTCCACGCTTTCCGCTTGATGCATGAGCCACCCGTCAGGCTATGACTCTGACTCCAGGAGACCCCATGGCTCCAGGGACCCGGTTCCTGGCTCTGACCATGGGCCGCCCTGCCTGAGCTCAGCTCTGCTGCCTCTCTTGCTGACCTGCTCTGGCCAGCGTGTGTGGACATTAGAAAGGGGGCCTGCGTAGCCCTTCCCCAGCCCAGGAGGCTCAAGTTCACAGGAGGGGAGTAAGGGTGAAAGCACCGCTGTGTTACGTCAGTGCCCGCGTCCCTCCCCACCATCGGAACACCATCGAGCCATCTGGGTCCTCTCTAAGATCCTGCAGCGTCCAAAGGGGGACGATCCAGGATGCACGAGATTAGGCAGAGGCCGCCGGATACCTGCAGCTCCATCCTAAGCCCCTCAGCTCTTCCCTCAGCGAGCGGGGACGTCCTTGGGGCCACCCCTCCCCTCCGCCTGTCCTTCCCCGTGGCCCCACGCCCCCTCCACCCCTTCAGAGCTTCCTAGTGCTGGCCTCTCAGCATTAGCAGTTCCGGCAGGAGCACGTGTGACAGCTGCTTGCCTGGCCACAGGGAAGCGCAGACTGGGCCCAAGTCACTAAGAGGCCCTTTAAATAGCACCGCTGCACAGCCCCCGTGCCAGCCACCTCGCAGGTCGCCTGAGGAGGGGCTGGGTTCCCAGGGGGACCAGGATGAGGCCTCCTCCCTGCCCTGCCCCGGCCGGCTGGCCCTCTTTTCTGAAAAGCGGATGAAAATGGGACAGTGAGGAAAACCAGCACTGTCACTAAACACCACTAAGAGCAGCCATATGGGGCTGCGCCACAGCAGGGAGACCCAGTTTCTCCCGGGGAAGCAGCGCTGGGTGCCTCATCTCTGAAAGAGGCATCTAGGGCTCGGCTGATGCTGATGATGGGCTGCACAGATGGGGGAGGGGGTTGGGCAGGGCCTCAGGTCCTGCCCCATAAGGAGGCAGAGGCCGGTGACACCAGGCTGCAGGACGTTGCAGAGTAGATGTGAAAGTACCCTTCTTAGGCCCGCACTGTAGAATTAAGGAAGTGTCAGCCTGCACTGTAGAATTAAGGAAAGGCCTGGGGACATGTGGCTGTGGCCTGCTGCCACTGGGGTTTAGAGATCCCCAGCTGCCCTTTGGGAGCCCCGTTCTCTCCGTCTCTGCTGGGGGGGAGGGTGCATGCCGTCGGCGGCATCAGAGGTGTCACTAGGGAGTCCTGCCTGGGGTCCCAGTAGGAGCTGTGGCCTGGAGCCGGGCTCTGGGGTTGGAGCCACCGGACCTTGAGGCTTGATGTCCCTGCCACCCTCACGTGCTCTGTGACCTTGGGGCATCCTTAGCTGCCCATGGGGAGACAGAAGCGATGCAGAGAGGCCCCGGAAGAGGCTGTGGGTGCTGGGGTCTGGGCGGGGTGGCTGCAGAGTCGCTGTTGTTCCCCCAATCCGTGCCTCGGTGGCCCCACTTTATGGGGCAGAGTGACGATGACCTCTGGAATTAGTAGACACGACCCATTTCAGGGGCCAGGGTGTCACGGCCCCGGGAGGCCACTGTGGCTATGCAGAGCCGCTGACAGGCAGACACCTCGTAAGGAGCAGGGCGGTGGCCGCCACTGCTGGGCGGGTGAGCCCGAGGAAAGCATCTGCTCGCTGGTGCCCGAGTTAGGGATCCGGAAGCAGTGGCCTCAGGGGCCCCGCCCTGCGCCCTGTGTGATCAGAGGGGTCCCAGCCTGTCCATTCCTGGTGTCGCAGGGTGACTTCAAGGCTGAGCACCGAGTGGCCAGGGTAACGTAGACAGACTCGACCCTCAAGACTGCTGGGGCCCAAGGTGTCCATGTCACTCTGCAGCCACCCTGGGACCGAGTTCTTGGCCCGCTCTGCCAGGGCTTGACAAAGCTTCCTTTAGTCTCGTTTCCCACAACGCAAGCCAGGACTCGGGGCCTGCTCTGGGCTGGCTAAGGCTAGGTACATGCGCTAGGCTTGGGCTGTGACGTGGGGACCAGCGCTCTGTCCTCCAGGGGAACAGTGAGCAGAAGGGATGGGCAGGCTGACCGAGGGAGATCATGGCAAGGACAGCGGCAGGCTTCGCAGCTCTAACTTCGGACATTTAGGCCCCGTCATCTCTGTTGCGAGGCATCTGGGCATTGTGGTATGGTTAGGAGCTTCCCTGATCTCTGCCTGCCGATGCCAACCATTATGATTCGAACTCCCCAGGCACAGCCCATATCCCCTGGCCAGGCCAGTGGTTTGAGGCCCAGGTTCGGAATCAGCCCTGTGTCTGTCCTCAGCAGAGTTGCCGAAGCTCCCCGACCTCAGTGTGTTAGTCTGCAAATGGAGTAGAACCAGCTCTGTGGGTGCACAGGCTGGCCTGAGGACTGAAGGCAACAGGGGAAGCTGGCACCCAGCACCATGGCCACCCTCAGCAAAGGTACATGGTGCCCAGGCTCTGCCCAGGACCTGGAGTGGGGCCCCTTTGGGGATCCTTAGAACCACGGGCCCTTCCAGAAAGCACTAGAACCACATCTCCCCAAAATCCAGCGCTGCCTTGGGAGCTACTTTCCCAGAGACAGACATAACAACATTGATGGATTTAATAAGAGCCTGGGGCCTCGGAGAGGCAGGGAGGTCAGCATGAGTGAGGTAGAGGAGGCCTTGCCCGGCATGGAGAGCAGCTCCTGATCCCCAGCCCTTAGGGTCTGCCTAGGTGGCTCTGTTCTGCTCCTGATGGGCGACTGCCGTGGGGACACTATGATGGCCATGTTTGCATGATAGAAACGGGCAGCCCTTCAAGGCCCTCCGGAGCCACTGTGACTGTCCCTCCTGCCCCGAGCTGCATTTGCAGAAGGCCTTGGGTCCTGGGTCTAATTTACCAGCAGACAGAAGTAAACGCCACTGAAAAATCGCTGGTCATTGAAGACTGATGTCAGAGAGCACCGGACCCTGGGGACCCAGGGACAAGTCACTGGCTGTCTGCCATCACAGGGAGGCTGGTGTGAGAACAGCCCCCAGAAATGTCCTCCCTGAAGAGGGGGAGCCATAGCTCGGGGTGAGGGTTTCCAGGGAACCACATGGGTGCTAAGCTGAGCAGAAGCAGTGAGCCTCCCCCCCCCCAGGACGGAGCCGAGTGGGGGCCGCGGAAGGTGGCAGGTGGGTCGCTTTTAGGCCGTGTGATTGAGGGGCTTTTGCACATGGCCCTGGTGCCTGCAGCTCCCCTCTCGATTCTAATCCGTGACCCACATCCTGGAGGGACGTTCTGCGGGCGGGGAAGGGTACTAACAACCTCAAATGAGCCCCGGTTTAAAAAACTCTCATTAAAAACAAAAAGCGCATCTGCCCAGGAGCATGTGAATGGATGTCACAGAACAGGGTTATGATATTTTTTAAATTTCTAACGCATGTGTCGTGCCAAGTCTGAAAGCACCCGCATCCCTAATCTCTCCTGCAGCCGCCCAGCTCTGATGGGTACAGCAGCTGTCTTATTGCCAGACAGATGCACGGGGAGCGGCATTAGCCTGGCAGATTCTCGTCTGCTAACTGCATTGCTTTCTCATTTGCTCCCATATTGGTGGAAAACGACTAAAGGATTTTGTTCAAAGTCTAGACAGTTCCCAAGTCAGCTGGCATCTAAGCAGCCAGCGGCACCCTCTTCCTTAGTAGCCCAAACTGGGGCCACTCCCGGGTTTGTTATCTGAGTGATTTCCACAGCCAGAGCTGTCTGCAGAGCCCCTGATCTTCTTGGAGAAGCACTTCCACCGGATTAGGTGTGACCTCAAGTGATGACGTCCGCAGCCTCCCCAAGGCTAAATTAATGACGCTGTGCCAGGCTGATGCCAAGATTCAGCCGGTGCCGCAGCGGGACCTGGCATGGTGGAAAGGCCTCATGCGTGATGTCTCGCTGGCGTCCAGGAACTGGCCCTCCTCAGTGACCTTGAAAACCCGTTGTCACACAGATGAGAGTCGCCAGGGCTCTGAATGTCTGTCTTTGCCCAGGGCCTGCAGGTGTGCCCTTTCCGTGCCCTCCACCATGGAGATGTGGTGAGCTAGGCTGGGCCTCAGCCATGGACAGGGCAGTGAGCAAGCTGGTGTGGCCACAGCCTCACAGCCTGGAGGGGTCTGGGCCCAGGGCTCAATCTGGGCCCAACAGGGTGTTCAGGGTCACATGCTGATGTGGCAGCTGCAGCCCGTGTGTGTCATGAGGCAGCATGGCCCAAGCCATCCAGTCCCATGCTCACCTTCTCTGGGTGTCCTTCCTCATCTTACAGGAGTCATTCTCTGGTGAGAACGTCACCCTGTCCCTTCTGCAAAGCCCTGTGGGTTTGGAGGAAGGACGACACATCCTAGTCTTCTTGTTTATGTTTCCTTCTTTTCTTTTGCTTTTTGCTTTTTGCTTTTTTGAGATAAAGTCTCACTGTGTAGTCCAGGCTGGCCTTATTGTAGCTCAGACTGGCCTTGAACTTGCAGCCATCCTCCTGCCTCAGCCTCTGGAGTGGGGGATTACAGGTGTGCACTGCCAAGCCCGGCTCTTTAGTCCTAAGGAATCCTTTCTGGTTCTGTGAGGTCCTCTTGCAAATTCCAGGTGGGAGGGTGCGGTCCCTCCTTCCCCACGAGCCCCGCCTGGCCCACAGGCAGCACTGACCAGGTCTGCTGTCTCCGCAGGTCTGGTACATGGACGGCTATCACAACAACCGCTTCGTCCGCGAGTACAAGTCCATGGCGGACTTCATGAACACGGACAACTTCACTTCGCACCGCCTCCCGCACCCCTGGTCGGGCACGGGGCAGGTGGTCTACAATGGCTCCATCTACTTCAACAAGTTCCAGAGCCACATCATCATCAGGTTCGACCTGAGGACCGAGGCCATCCTCAAGACACGCAGCCTGGACTATGCCGGCTACAACAACATGTATCACTACGCCTGGGGTGGCCACTCGGACATTGACCTCATGGTGGACGAGAACGGGCTCTGGGCCGTCTATGCCACCAACCAGAATGCTGGCAACATCGTGATCAGCAAGCTGGACCCCATCTCGCTGCAGATCCTGCAGACCTGGAATACCAGCTACCCCAAGCGCAGTGCCGGCGAGGCCTTCATCATCTGTGGGACCCTCTACGTCACCAACGGCTACTCGGGGGGCACCAAGGTCCACTATGCCTACCAGACCAACGCCTCCACCTACGAGTACATCGACATCCCCTTCCAGAACAAATACTCCCACATCTCCATGTTGGACTACAACCCCAAGGACCGCGCGCTGTACGCCTGGAACAACGGACACCAGACCCTCTACAACGTTACCCTCTTCCACGTCATCCGCTCCGACGAGTTGTAGCTCCTCCACCCAGAAGCCGAGGGTCCAAGTCCTCTCCTCTGAGGGCCCCCCTGCCCCGTGAAACAGCTGCCAAAACAATACTAAGAATACTAACAATACTAATTTTGAAAAAAAAAAATCATCAGCAATGATTCTGGCGCCGAGGGACGACATTGCCTCCGCGTTCCTCCCGCTCAGCTGGTGGGCAACAGATTTCGGAAGAAACCCCCATATTTGCAGCTGGAACTGCAGCCCAAGCCTCCGTGCCCTCCCCACACCCCGTCCCTCTCCGGTCCAGTAACCTACTTCAGCAGCAAGGCAATGACTGTTGGCCAGTCCCACCCCAGGGCAGCCCACTCTTAGGATCGCATGGACATTCCCTTAGGTCGTGGGCAGCGCCGATGGGCGTGACGCTCCCTTCGCCCGGAGACCCCCGCCCGCCTGGGCGGCCCCCTCTAGGGCAGGAGGAGCGCACATCCGTGGCGGCTGCATTTCCAGACTGTGCTGTGTCTTAGATTAACCGTGTTGAGGCTGCCAGTAGCTCATGGACCTGTGTCTAGTCCTTCCCGAAGCGACGGTGGGCGTGTGTAGCGCAGTTGCTGTACCCACGTTTGGACTCGCATACCCCGTAGATATATCGTGCAGTGTCTGTCTGTTCTCTCCTTGAGGTGGTACCTTCGTGCGTTTAGTGTATGCGATGGATGTTGTTCATGCAATGCCGTGGTTTGGATTAATAAGTGGATGGTTCTTGTTTCTAAAAAGAAATCAGTGTTCACCCTTATAGAGACCTAGTCGAGTTCATGTTGATAATAATCAAAGGAATTCCTCTCTCCTTGTTCAATTACCTGGATCGTGTAACTGCAGATGCGAAGGGCTTGTCTCGGGAAACCCCAGTTTCCGACGGGAAGGAAGCCACGGAAAGCTCACTTTTTAGGTTAAAAAAAGAGGGAAACTTTGTACTATCCAGTTATCTAAGGAACAATAAAAATATTAGGAGATGTTTTTGCTCCTCTTGTCATTCCTGAGGGTTTGCAGATGTGTCCCGAACATGAATGGCCCTTCCAGGAGGGGACAGAGGGCTTGGGTAGGGGGATCCCCCACTTCCCCAACCCCCAGCCACACAGCCGGAACCTGACAGTCAGCCCAGGGCTCCCTCCCCTTCCGGAATCCAGGGTGCCAACCAGGGCCTGCACCTGGAGATGCCCGCTCCCTTTTCCCCCTCAGGGGCATAGCTGGGAGGAACCTGGGGAGAGGAGACACCAGCGAAGAGCCCCAAGAATGCCAGTGAGGCACACTCAACCTCCGGACAGTCCCTCCCTGGAAGGCTGGCCCTCTTCCCTGGTCCTGAGATGGGTGTCCCTGGGCAACACCAGAGAGCCAGCCCATGGGCAGCACCCCTGCAAGACAGGGCTTTCCAGAATGCCCTGGGCGCCATAGTCCCCCCCCCACGAGACATGACGCTCCCGGCCCCAGCGTGGTGGGGGGCTGGTCTGGCCTGTGGGTGGTGGGGGCCCCTTGCTGCCTCCGCTCTAACCGTGGGCAAAGCCTCCTGCAAGTCCGCTGTGGAGCGGAGGAGCTCTAAGGACTTTGATACCACCCCTGTGCCCAGTGGAAGCTGGAGAAGGAGGCAGCTGTGGACATCGGGGTACCATGTCTGCCCTAGGAGCACCCGGGGATTCGCAGGATAAAGGTGGCCTTGAAACACTGGATGGGGAAAGGGAGGTCCCAGAAGTCCTCGGGTCTCTGTGCGGGTCTGCTCAGGCCGGTGACGCTGCTGACTGCGAACGGTCTAGACTGGTGGTGGCAAACCTATGGCATGCGTGCTGCAGCAGGCTGTTTGTTATCATGGAAAGCTCTAAAAGGTTCGCCATCATTGGCCCAGACCTTCACTGCAGTGGACACTGGCCTCAGCCTGCCTCCTGCTGTGCTCCTTCCAAGTCCCAGGCTCCTGCTGTCCTTCCCCTGGCCTCTTCCCAGCTCAAAGCTGGGGCCTCTGCATGCCCCCCTCCCCCTCCAGGGAGGACCTGCTCACAGCACCTCTTTAGTACCGGGGCACAGCTTCTTCCAAGCTAGGTGCTTCTCCAAACCCAAGCCAAAACCGATCCTTCCTTGCTCTGTGGTCATTACACAAACTTGCAACCTCCGCTGAAACGAGACGCTGAGAGGAGAGGAGGGCGGGGTGGGAGGCTCACCGTTCATTACAGCCTCATTAGCTGACTGGCCCCTGAGCCAACCTCACGCCCCACCGCAGGACCAGCTCCAATTAAAAGTTTCAGAAGTGGGACACAATCTCTGCCTTTCATGTCTACAAATGATTTTGGAGAAAGATGGCATATTTAATCCCCCCGGGACAGAAGAGCCGGTTATTAATATGAAAGCCCAAGTTTTAATAAAGACGTAACTCAGCCGGCCGGACCACGCTCTCGTTCTTCTCCACCAAAACCCTGTCCGTGCACATCCGGGGGACGGCGCTGTCATGATGGCGGAAATTATGGGCTGATTTCTGCATCGTTTCCCTTAACAACATAGTAAAACACAAGTGTAACCTAACCTTTTCTACCAGTCCCTTCCAGGAGATGAAATAATGGTCTGATAGGTCCAGCATAGATTTGCTGTCTCAGACTAAGTATTTGCTAGGGAAAATATTCTGCCAAGAGATTAAATACCCAAGAAAAACGGTTCCATCCAGAAAGCTAATAAAACAACCACCTGCCATTAAATCTCGCAGATTCCAATAACGGACTGTATTGGCTAATGGTAGAACATCTGCGGATGAATTTTCTTTATGCTGGACCTATCACGAGACAGATTCAGTTCTGTTTGCAGCTGGGTCGTGGACCTGGCTTGGCTCTGCGGGGTTCCCTTCCCCCAAGGAAACTTGGGACAGGGACCCTGGCTTCCACAGAGCTTTCCACAGGCTCCCTCTGAGCCCCAGGTTCAGAATTCAGGGAGAGATGGCGGGGTGGCTTTCCTTCCTGGCCAGCTCATTGGGAGCTAGCCCACCCCCTGGCTGCAAGAGTGTGTCCCTGGGCTCCTAGAGTGCCGGTGGAGGCCGGTCATCCAGGACAGCCACAGCGATTAAGTGGGCCTCTCGGGTGGTTACATTCACTGTGAACTAGCAGTTGGATCTTCTGTCCATTTTTCTTCTGTTACCTTTCTGTTCTCGCTTCCCTGTCTTCAGGAGCCCCTTCTGTGTGGAGGGCCAGGCTTTGTGGTTCTGCGCTCTGTGCTGTGGGTGCTGTCTGACTGGCCATTCATCTCTTATTATTGGTTATGGTGGCTTTTTTTTTTTTTTTTTATTCAGCTATAGTCAAAATTATCAGCTATTCATTTCGTGCCTTTGCTTCTGAGCCGAAGTGGAGCCGGTCTTCCTGCTTGGGCTTAGAAGGAGTCCGCCTGGGTTTTGTTCTGAGACTTCTGAGAGTCCTTCTGGCGTTGGCACTGCCCCCGCTGGCTTTACCTTTTCCAAAGGCCGCCCGGCTGCCCTTCTGCTGTGGATTCCATGCACCACCTTTCCCCACTAAAGTCTGTGTCCTTGGGTTTATTCCTGGAACCTTCTCTCAAGGAGTCTGTGTTTGATGCTGTTCTTGGAAATTCCACTCCCAGGCTTTCAAGTCCATTTGTACAAACCAGGGGGCTTTTCTCCTGCAGGTGAATATTCATGATCCCTGAGATTTAAGTACTCCACTGTTGCTCAGAGCTTCCCCAAGAAGCTTGCTGGCACCTACTCTCATGATCCTCGAGTCTTACTCGGGACTGTTTCTGGGATCTGGGCAGGATTTCCCTCAGTCTTGCCGGGTCTGGAGAGGATGCAGTGGTTTCGAGGGGCCATCCCTCTCTGAGGCAGGTCTCTGCCAAATGCCGCATTCCTGAGACGGACCTCCAGGGAGACGCCCCGCCTACACAGCCCACGCTGTCCCCAAGTCCCAGAAGTGTCACAGGGAGCCTGAGCAGCAGCCAGCCCGGCTGACATTTGGCAGGGCAGTTCTGTGCACGCACGGTGTCCCCGGTGTCCTCGCTGGTGACTCAGGGCACAGCAGGCAATGCACAGAGTCAGAACCATGCGCCGTGAGGGCCCGGCCCGGCCTCCAGCCCACAGTGGCCGGCTGCTGAGTGGGCTCTCAGAGGGAGGTGAAGCCCTGGCCGACGGGGACCACCTGTCTCTGCCTCCGCCTTCCAGGGCGGGGCCAGCAGGTGGGCAGGGACAGCGCCCCTCTGCGTGCCCTGCTGTTGGCACGGTGTGACTGTCCTAGGTCCTCGGCATCTCGAACAGAGAGTTGAGCAGGACATACAGAAGCAGAGGTGAGGGCAGCAGTTTATTACCCTAGCTCCCACTGGCCAGTGAGAAGAGCTCACGGCCCCAGAGCAGCCAGGTATCAGGGCCTCGGGGTGGCTTCTACAGGTAGGGGTTGGCTCTTTGGTCGCGCAGGGATTCACTCCAACCAGCCTCCTCCTTTCTTTGGAGGGGGAGATTTGTCCCTCTGGGGGCGTTAAAGGAATTGTCATGGCACCCAAAGCCCCTGGGGATAGTCAAGACCAAATGTGAATGAGGTGCTGATAAATTAGACCTGGGTTGGGTGGCTTGTGGTTGTTCGGGATATTCCACCACATATGGCCCCCAGGCGTGGCATGGTCCTTCGAGGTCCTTTGAGCTCATCTTGGGCCTTTGGAAGCTTGTGGCCCATGGACCCTCTTGTCCTCCCTGATTGTGTATGGTCTAGGTGCCAGAACAGGGCATTCTGTGATTTTAGAGAGCCGGTGTCCTCCTCCAGCCCAGTCAGAGCCCTGTGCGATCCCCAGTGGGAGGGTAAAGCTGGGTGGGAGTCACCCAGACCCTCCTCCACCCCACCCTGCTCCGGGCCTCAGTTTCCCCAACCAGTTCAAGAGATAGCCTCTAGGCTGTGGAGCCCAAACATCCCTCAAAGGGGACCGGTCTGGGGAATGACAAATGCTGTCTGGGGAGCCCATCCCAGCTTGTGCCTGTCCCTCCTGGCCCGGCGCTGACCTCTGCCTCTGCCAGGGACGTTCAGCCCAGTGCAAAGGTCTCCCAGCCTGTGGTCAGCCTGCAAGGCTCTATCATCTCCCTGCAGTAGATGGAGACCACGCAGCCCAGCAGGACAGTTAACGCCAGTTAGCAGGGCCCCCGGGTGGGACCCAGGTGGGACCCAGGTCCCCGGGCACTAGCCTTGGGCACTGGTCGGAGAAAGTGACGCGATGTCACACTAGAGTCCTTCCATTGGTGGGGGAGTCCCAGGGGCCTTCAGCTGCCGGCTGCCTCCCTCCCGCCCTCCCTTGGGGCTGCTTTATTCCTGGGAGTGGGGCTCAAGGGCTTGGAGGACACAGCGCTCCTGCCGGGTCTGAGGCAGGCAACAAGAATTTCCTCACTGATCTTTTCCTTCCCGCTAAGGGCTGGAAAATAAGACTGCCAAGAGGAATGCTGGTGCACCTGGTTGGCGCTGCTTCTGTTTTGCTGATTGAATTCTTGGGTGATTCCTGGAGGACGCTGCCCCGCCCTGAGGACTGGTGCCGCCCACAGAACTGCAAGCCTTTCCCGGCTCCAGCCTTCCCGGTGCACGGACAGCCCTTGGGCTGTTTGCCTTGTTTGGTCTGCACCTGTTGTCCCCCTGAAGTTGGCGGTGAAAGCCACCAGGAGGAGAATACTCGACGACCAGGGCTCTTGGTCCACACAGTCCACCAGGTGTTCAGGGACCTCCAAGTCCCGGCTACAAACCCAGCAGCTAATTCTGCCATAAAAATTGCAGTTGAATGATAGACATTGTAGGCCCTTGGACAGTCTTAGAAACACAGGCAAGAAGGAGTCCGCAGGAGGACAGACGCCCGAAGGGCAAGCCTGGCACCCCCTCTGTCCCTTCTCCTGCCTGGCCCTCAGGGAACCCATTCCAAAGGCAGCAGGGAGAGGCCCCCTCCAGAGAGACACTGGGGACACCGCAGTGGCCAGCGGAGGCTGAGTGCTGGCGAGACCCCGATAGAGTCCCTAGCCCA